GGAACAGTTCTTCTGCATCTTCTATGTATTTCCCAAACATAGGGGATGGATTTTTCATCCATTGGAATTAATTAGATTGGAATAAAAGAATGCAAGGCTTGAGCCAGCCCTGATGGTCTAGTGGTTAAAGTTGGGTGCTCTCATGGCTTCGGTGGCTGTGGTTCATTTCCTGGTCATGGAACCACACCACCTGCCTGTCAGTTGCCATGCTGTGGCGATGGCTCACATAGAAGAACTAGAAGGACTTACAACTAAAATATACAACCATATACTGGGGCTTTGGGGAGAAAAAAGAAAAAAAGAGGAAGATTGGCAACAGATGTTAGCTCAGGGTGAATCCTTCCCTGCAAAAAAAAAAGCAAGGCTTGATTTAGCCCTTGAAATCTTCCATCCATTTGGGAAGGTACTATATCAATAATACAAAAATGTGGTAAGTACAATCCTTTACCTAAAAAGCTGCCAGATCTTAATGAAGTCCCCTTCTGGCTCATAATATTCTGAGAAAACAAAGCAAATCATGTGGAAAGTAAAATTGAAATATTTTTGGTTCTTAGTGAGATTACACTTAAGTGGCTTTTACTGTTGGTGTTTTTTTGTTTGTTTGTTTTTTGTTTTTTAATGTGGGGAGAATGATTTTTACCTAGCCTTTAAGACATCAGCATTGTCCTTTATATTTTGATATATTATTCCAACAAAGATGCTTTTCTTTGGGTAACAAGCAGCCAAATATCAAGAAGCAAGTGATTTGTGGGATAACTGTTGGTGCTAAGGCTTCTGAATCTTTTAGCTGAAGAGCTGGGAGGTAGGAAAGAGGTTACCCAGGGACCCACCGAACTAGAGGTATGTATGAGGGTCTCTTTGCCCCTTATCGTTTTCTGGGTGCGCTGTACAGATTCCAGTGATCAAAAGAGCACTACGTCCCTGAAATAAAGAAAGCCCCCATTATCTGGGTAAATCTGATGTACACAGCGATCGATGGAGACGTTATTCACAGCCTCATGGTCAGATTCTCTTCAGTACTTTGTCGTTTAGTCTTACAAGCTGAGCTACTTAGGGCCTCAGAAAGCAGGTCTTAAATGTTACTAACTGCCAAAATGATCTATTACTCAGGAAGGGATTGGAACAAAGCACAGAGGTGCTGAAACATTTATGGAATTTTACCTACCATATTGTCTTGAAGGGCTAGTGATAAATTAATCTATGTGTCCACACCGCATGATACCACAGTGGGATTTGTTAAACATCCAAAGTTGAGTTGTTTTCGGATACCATTTGGTTTGCTAATAATGTCTTGTCATTTTTTTTTTTTTTTTTTTTACTGAGTAAGATTGGCCCTGAGCTAACATCCGTGCCCATCTTCCTCTGCTTTATATGGGACGCCACCACAGCATGGCCTGACAAGCGGTGTGTCAGTGCACGCCAGGGATCTGGGCCTGCGAACTCTAGGCCACCAAAGTGGAGCACGTGCACTTAACTGCTTGCGCCACTGGGCCGGCCCAGTGTCTTGCCATTTTTAAATGCTTTCGCCTTTTGCTGACCTTGGCTCACTAAAATGCATGCCCATTGAGTTCACTGACTCTGTCTACCTGGTTTGACAGCTTGCCTTCCCAGACCTTCTAGACTGAGTGCCCCAGTTGGTGGATGGGTGGAGGGTGGGAAGAGGGATGGGCTGATGGAAAGGGGAGGTGGGTGAGGTGGGTAGGTGAGATGGAGGACAGATGGAAGCCGAGTGGGTGGATATGGTAGGCGGGTGGGCAGGAGGGTGAACGGAAGGATGGTTTGATGAGTGAATGTGAGTCTTAGTGATCTCTGGAGTACACAGGGCCTTGGAAAATCACTGAGATACCTGGGGCAGTTGGATGGGGATCTAATGAGGGAGTTAAGCCGGAAAAGCGAGTGAAAGAAGGAACTGCTGCACACCCCTCCTCATTCTTGCATTCTTGAGCTGATGCTGCACTTAGTATTCATTGACTACTATCTTTGGAACCCGGAAAGGGAGATGAAATCAGAGGACAATGGAAGGTGGTGTGGTTGCAGTGCCCTCTGGTGGCCATGAGGGGATTTGCCATTTGGTATTCTTAGGTATTTTTGCATTGTTTCTTCTTCCCACTCCGCCTCACCCCCCACACTAGAATATAAACCCCGTGAGAACAGGGACTTTTGTCTGTTTACTCATTGTTGTATATCAGGCATCTGGAATGGAGCCTAACACATAGTAAGAGTTCAATAAATATGTATGGAATGAGTGAATGACAGATGTAAATTCTGCTCCATTGCTTTATTGATGGGTGACCCTGAGCAGCTCTCTTAACATCATAAATCCTCAGTTTCTTATGGGTAAAATGGAGACGCTAACACCCACCCTCCATGAGCACTAATTGAGGGAAAAGAACCTACACCTGCCAAGCCGGGGCACTCAGTCAACATGTGCTCCCTTCTCACCCACCAGCGAGTGTTGCTGATGCATTATATGCTGACAGCAGCACCCGATTTGAAGGGCACATTTGCCATGATGGACATGGGCTTTCTGGGGTGTGGGGCAACCTGGGGAAATCATCCAAGCCTCGTCCCCGGCTGGCCAGGCAGGGAGGAAGTGTAGCCAGATAGATAGGGCAATACCAAGTGAGGTGTGAGATTTCCTTCTGCCATCCATACCCGTCTCCCCACCCCCACAGCCACACCCAACTCTTCCCATTGCCCTGAACCCATCGGGCTCCATCTGCCCTCTGAGCCTTTGCAGATGCTGTTTCCTCCGCCTGCATGCCCTTCTCTCCAACCCTATTGCCACGACCCACGTTCAAGCCCTCCGAGTGGCTGTATCAGCCTCGTCCTAGTCTCCCTGCAGACTCTCTGACCTCCTCAAATACATCTTCCTCAGGGGACTCGATCTAAACTGCAAATATGCTTATCTCACTTTCCAGCTTCAATCTGATTGTTCTTGGGACAGAGTCCAAGTCCTCTGACCTACCATTTTGTGGTCTGGACCCAGCCCAGCTCCTAGCCATCTCGCCTCTCCTGATCCCGGCTTCAAATCTTACACCAAACAATCCAAGCCATTTCCCGAGCCTTTGCCTACGCGGTCGCCTCTGCCTGGAAATCCATTCCCCTGCAAGGAGGGCATGTGTTGCTTTTGCCTGCCCAGGATCCATTTCCTTTTCCTCTCATAATGGAATCCCCTCCCAGCTCTCAGATCGGAGGTGCCTGTAGGGCTGACCCATTTCTGGGTTCAAGAGTGAGCTTGAGACTCAGCCCGGTAGATTTCTTTTCTAATTGGAATGCTGTGGGTGCAGCATACGTTCTCCAGTTGGCCACAGACCACTCCCCTTTGTCTTATTCCAGCTTCTTCCATTTATTTTATTTGCTTGGCTCCTGGAGGCATTGGAGTTTGAAATTCCTGGTACACTTCTCCCTTCTGGTCTGTCAGGCTCTGATTCCCTCCTGTATCCCAAATGTTTCACCTTCCAGTTCCCAGCTCACCCATGGGTCCCAACTTCCCTGTCCTGACACCCAAAAGTGCCCCTGGTTCTATGGAGGTTCAGTTGTCCCCGTTCAGGTCTGAGGAGCTGGGGCTTGGAGATCTAAGTTCGCTGGAGCAGGGAAGGCTGCCTAGCTGTGTCCATGTTTTTCCTGGAGAAAGGGCAGGAGGACCCAGGGGTGGAGGTGTGTATGAGAGAGGACAAGTGCAGCCCCAGGTGGCACCTCTGGGCTGTGTCCTGTGAGAATGGCCTCTGCAGTTCAGGGAATCACCAAAGGCAGCAGGCATTTCTGCCTGGCATCTCTGGTGGATGAATCTCTGCTGTGTGCTCAGAGCCTGGCCACGGCAGGTGCCCAGTGCATGTTTGGTGTGTGTAGGATGAAGGTCTTGGCCTGTCTGGGGCTTTCACATCTGCCATCAGCTCACTGTTTTCTTGATCTGCCCCTGTCCCAGGCCCCTCGCTGGTCTCCAGGGTTGAGGAAGGAACAATGGGGTAGGATACTTCCCTCAAGGCAGGCTGGGACCCCTAGACTCCCCCTGGGGAGCCTTTGTGGATGAGAGCTGTTTTTCTCTCCTCCTGGCAAAGGACAGAGAAGAGAGTGGCTTCTGGGAGAGGAGAGGCAGCTCCAGACTGGGCCCTTCTGGGAGGAGTCACCTTGGGGACCACCTTTACCCTAGGGAGCCCTCATGTCCTGGTTCCTCTCAGAGCTACCCCAGAAGGGTTAGAGAGAGGCGGAGCTTGAGGTGAGAGTAGGGGCGGCCACACAAGTGAGCGAGACCTCAGGTGTGTGTGTGTGTTTGGGAGCTGGATTTAAATCCTCTGCTTAGACCCCCGAGTCCTGACAGCACAGAAGGAAGTTTGACATCTGAACCTGGAACCCCACCCACCCATCCTTTACTCCCTCAACTGACCTTTTCTCTGGCCCCAGCTGCCCCGTACCCACCGTCCTCTCCCAACTAGTGAGAGCCCCATGGAACCAGACACGAAAAGGCCTTCAGCACCAAGTGGAGGTCTTTTATTTTGGGAAGGATGCATGGTGGAGTCTGTTGGGGACCTCAGAAGTGAGGAATGGACAGGTTCTCACCTCCACCAAAGATGTGTAACGGTAGCCAGAGGTGAGAGGCAAAATACTTAATAACCGGTACAACATGGGCATCAACCAAGTGCAAGGTTCCGGCTGAATAGCAGACCTGATGCCATATGTCCTCAAATATAAGATGCCGTTGATTGTAACACACACATACCATTACTCAAAAAGAAAACTGTCAATTGAACTACAACCGATGCTTTCTTATCACTTACAATTCCTATTTTATACTTGTCAAAAGAGCTCTTTTGGACTTATTTAAATATAGACTGTTATCATGTTTTATCTACAAGCTGCATGCACAGGCCACGATGGCTACGTGACCAGGACCAGTGCCCAGCTGATGGTAACCATTAGACACCATTGATTAAAGACATACTTGGACTTCAGAAAAGGTAGTGTGTGATAAAAAAAATGCATCTTAGAATAGATGAACTATGGTAATTTCTAACATTTACTGAGCACTTACTATGTGTTAATTATCACCCAAAGAAATCCATTAGGTTGATCATTTATTAGGTCATTTTACAGATTAGGAAACTGTGAGCAGAGGTGAAGTCAGCCCTTCAAGGTCACACAAGCAGTAAGCAGCAGAGCCTGGACTTTCGCCCAGGCTAATGCCAAGAGTGTCCTGTTGGCTGTGTGTAGCCTTGAGGGTCCCAAGGAACTACGTTATCCCACCACCAGGGTCATCCTCTTTGGCTTTAGGACCGGCGGACGTGGGGCACTGGAGTGGCCCCTTCAGCGAACAGCTTGAGGGAGAAATCGAGGGCCGGGGCAGCCTGGGTGAGCATCCCCAGAGAGATGACATCGATGTGGGGCCCACAGAACTGAGGGAGGTTGTCCAGCGTGATGCCCCCGCTGGCCTCCACGCCCACGCCCGGGAACTGGGCCTTCAGCGCCGCGGCCGTGGCGTGCAGCTCCTGTGGGACACAAGCCAAGGGGAGGTGAGAGCCCCCCACACGGCCCCTTCCCAGGAAGCAGACCCCGCCTCACCTCAGGCCTGAAGTTGTCCAGCAAGACGAGGTCTGCGCCCGCCTCGGCCGCCTCCACAGCCTCCTGCAGGCTGCTGCACTCCACCTCCACCTTCAGGGTGAAGTCGGCCGCCTGCCGGGCCCCTCGCACCGCCTGTCAGGGCGAGAGTGAGGACGGGTGGCACCTGGCACAGGGGCACAGTGCGCTGGGACTGGCATTCGAAAGGCCCCAGATGGATAACGAGCTTGGGGTTAATGAGGAAAACGGGCATCGGGTGGTTTCTTTCCTATTAGGTGAAACCACATGAAATTACCACTTCTGTTGGGTCAAAAAAACGGCCAACTATCAGCAATATTTGGCATTTGGACCTGACTTCAATTTGACTCAGAATAGTCTTCAAGAACGTTTTCACAGCTGGGAAACAGGTCTGGGGAGTCAGAGTGACCTGCCCAAGGTCATAGAGCCATCAACACTGGTTCCCAATGGTTTGTCCTTTGCTCTTGAACATGATACCAAGCAGCAGTGGAACGCCGGTACAGAAGCAATCCAACCCCCATTCTACAGATGCAACGACTGAGGGGTGGAGGAGTCTTGCATCCCTCAACATCACTATTCACCAGGGAGTGGTTGGGGTCTCTGGTAGAGGGACAGGCTGTGATGGCGGAGGGGAGCAGGGCCAGGGCAGGGGCTCAGCCAGACATGTACCTTTTCCACACCTCCAGCCGCCATGACGTGGTTGTCCTTCACCATCACCAGCCCTCCCAGGTCGTAGCGGTGGGAGGCGGCCCCGCCCACTAGGAGCCCATACTTCTCCACCAGCCGGAAGCCTGGTGTAGTCTTCCTCGTGCCCGCCACATGCCCAGCCCAGCCGGTCCCCCTGGCGGCCTCCACAGCAGCAGCGGCAGCACTGGCAACTCCACTGCAGCGGGCCAGCATGTTCAGGGCCACCCGCTCGCCCAGCAGCAGGCAGTTGGCAGGGCCCCGGACCTCTGCCACCTTGGTCACAGGTACCAGCTTTGATCCCTCGGGGAGGAACCACGTGACCTGGCAGTTGACATGGGCAAAGATGGCATCAAAGAAAGGCCTCCCAGCCAGTACGCCGGGGGACTTGGCCCACAGCGCCGCCTGCAAGGGGGCTGCCCCTGTGACCAAGGCAACGTGGTTGAAGCTTGGGCAGTCCTCTCGGAGCCAGCCGTCCACCAGGGTAGCCAGAGTGGTAGGAGGCAGCAGGAGCGCCAGGCCTGGGAGGGAAGGAGAGAGAATGGTGTTACATGTTGGCTGCCTGTCTTATAGTCAGGAGTGACTGTCAAAATATTTAACAATCTGCCAAACTGGGCACTAGCCAATCAGAGTGACGATCTGGGGGGCCCGGGAGACGGGCTGGGGCACTGGGTGGGCCCTATGGGCTGGACAAGTTTGCCAGATTGAGCAAATAAAAATACAGGATGCCTAATTATATTTAAATTTCTGACAAATGTCAAAGATTTTTTTAGTATAAATATATCCTAGGTGATATTTAGAACATGCTTTTACTTAAAAATTATCTGTTGATTATCTGAAATTCAAATTTAACTGAGAGTCCTATATTTTATCTGGCAAACCTAGTGCTGGATCAACCCCTCTTTACCAACTAGAAGTGCACACCACCTGAAAGGCACCCTAAGTCTGCCCTGCACAGAAGGAGTAGATATTTACGAGCTGAAGCCCCCAGTAGAACGTGAGCTGTGTGTTGCTTTCATCCCAGTCTTCTCTATAGCACCAAGTACATTAAAGTTGGAAGTTCGACTTTTTACAGACGTGGCAACTGACGACCAGAGAGGAAAGGCAAGTTGGCTGAGGTCACACAGCAAACTGCCAGCAGAGTCAGACCGGCCAGGCCTTGTGGTCATGGCCGTCTGTCCCTCCGCCTTTGCCCTCTAGCTTGGAGACCCCTCCCACGCCTGATATTTCACACTGTCCTCTCTCTAGAGATGGGGGCTGTACAAGGAGGAAAAAGCACGGGGAAATTGGGTTTGAGCCCGTGCTCTGCGAAACATAGCTTCAGGAGCGTGGGCGAGTCCTTTACCTGTAAAATAAGAGTTATGGACCAGCTGGTCTCTAAGGTCCTTCCCGCCAGCGCGTAGCGGCTAATGGGCCCCTCACGCCTGTTGCATGAGTGGGGTGACGGCAGAAGCCGAGCTCAAGCACAGTGCAACATCGCCATCTGTCGGCCGGGAGAAGACCTGCAGCCTCCGTGGCGCGCGCTGTAGCAGGACTTAGCTTCCCCAGGGAGGGGGAGACAATTTGATAGCATGTGAGGGGATTTTGTTTTGTTCTGTTTTGTTTCCCCCATTTTTGATCCAAGTTGAAGTTAAGGCTAGACATTCTGGCTTGCTCTACTCTCAGAAGCAGGCCTTTCTTATCTAGCCCTTCTTCCCCAAAGCCAAGCACCCAATCTCCGCCCCCCACTCCCAGCCACAGTCCTCAGTGATGGCTCCCCACCCTCCTTCTCCACATTGTCTCCCACAACTGCCCCAAGTGGCTTCCATTCCTCACTCAGAGCCAGCTGTGCCCCGGCCAGATGCTGGGAACAGTCAGTGAAAGGGACAAAGACATAGTCCCAGTCTCCACCCTTCACACTCCAGAGACGTGAGGCCTCCGCTCCATTCAGATGAGGTGCACAATGTTTGCTTTTTAAAGTGAATTTGGACCCTTCAACTGGTGAGTATTGAATAAACAAACCATGAGGCATCTATACAATGGATTTCTACTCAGCAATAAAGGCACCAACTACTAATACACACAATAGGGACGCACCTCAAATGTATGATTCTAAGTAAAGAAGCCAGATTCAAAAGGCTACATGCTATTGAGTCCATCATAAATGACATTCTGGAAAAGGCAAAAGGATAGAAACAGAGAACAGACTGGTGGTTCCCTGGGGGTCGGGAGGGGCTGGCCACAGAGGGGCAGCACCAGAGTTTTTGGATGTGATTGAACTGTTCTATATCTTGTCTGTGATGGTGGCTGCATGACTGATGCATTTATCAAGACTCAGAACTGTACAGAGAAGAGTGAATTTTACTGTCTGTAATTATACCTCATTAAACCTGACTTTAAAATAAAACAATAAAAAAGTAAATTTGAGTGGATCACTTTCCTGCTTAAAACCCCGCTTTCACTGTATTAGCTCCAGCTCTCTTAACTTCTTTCTGTTTTCATGTATTCTTTTGACAAACCCTTACGGAGCACCTGCCCTGTGCCAGGTACTAATTGCTGGGTGACAGAGTGGACAGCTCTTTCTCTTAGCTTTCAGGCCTTAGCCTATGCTGTTCCAAGGTTGTAAGTCCCTTCCCTTACCCTCACCTCCAAACTCCCCCTTCACCTCGACTCCTCTTGCAGGTCTTCTCTTAGACATCACTTCCTCGGCAGGGGACTCTCACACACCCCCTAAATCAGGTCGCATGCTCACTCAGCTCCTTGTTCTTTCCCCATCATCACACTCTGCTGTTGTTCCTCTCTGGGGGCAAAGATGTGTCTGTCCAGTGAGTTTTCTGCTGTATCCCAAGTGCCTAGCATACTGAACCATACAAATGTGCTGTTTTTTTGTTTTTTTGGGGTTTTTTTTGCTGAGGAAGATTGGCCCTGAGCTAACATCTGTTGCCAATCTTCCTTTTTTTGCTTGAGGAAGATTGTCCCAGAGCTAACATCTGTGCCAGTCTTCCTCTATTTTGTATGCAGGACTGCGGCCGCAGCCTGGCTTAATGAGTGCGTGCAGGTCTGTGCCCGGGATCAGAACCTGTGAACCCTGGGCCGCCGAAACGGAGCGCAAGAACCCAACCGCTACGCCACCAGGCTGGCGCCCAAATGTGCTGCTTTTATAGGTCAAAAAACAGTCAAATATTGGCAATTTCATATCGTTTAGCTTAATACTAAGTGGTCAATGATACTTATTCAAGCAGAGAGGCCGCACGGTGGAATGCATTAGAACCAGACTCCGCGGCCACACAGCCTGGTGTCCAGTACTGCCTCTGCTTCCTTTAGCTAAGTGACCTTGAGCAAATGACTCAACCTCGCGGGGGCCTTAGGCTCCTTGCCTGTGCCAGGGATAATGGGAATAATCACCTCCGAGGGTTGTTATGAAAATTAAGTGAGTTAATATCTGTAAAGCACTGGGGAACACTGTCTGGCACACAGTAGGCATGTTTGCTAAAGGAATGACTGAAGCGTTTACCACGAATCGTGGGAGCTTAGAGGAAGGAATGACTAAGTGTCCCTGAGGAGGGAGGTAGTTTTAGTGGCCTTGAAGGATGAGTAATGTTTGCCGGGCAGAGGTGTGGGGTGGGGAAGAGAGACAGCAAGACATTTCAGGCTGAAAGAGCAGGTGTTCAAGCCTCAAAAGCAAGAAAATAGAGGAGCTAGCCCCGTGGCGTAGTGGTTAAGTTTGCGCACTCTGCTTCGGCAGCCTGGGGTTTGAGGGTTCAGGTCCTGGGCGTGGACCTGCACACCGCTCATCAAGCCATGCTGTGGTGGCGTCCCACATACAAAATAGAGGAAGATGGGCACAGATGTTAACTCAGAGACAATCTTCCTCAGCAAAAAGAGGAAGATTGGCAACAGATGTGAGCTCAGGGACAACCTTCCTCAAAAAAAAAAAAAGGCAAGAAAATGGAGAGAGGAGGTGAGGGAGGGCTGAGCGGGATTCGCAGGAGAAATGGCAGGAGGTGAGGCCAAAGTGAAAAAGAAATAAACTATGTGTCTGAGGAATTTGGACAGATCCTAGGAACCATCACAGAATTTTAAGCAAGGATATGATCATGATTTTGTTCTAGAAGGGTCACTTCAGCCACCAACTGCAGACGGGTTGGGAGACAAACAGAGGCTGAGGCAATGGGCCAGACAAAAAGTGATGAAGCCCTGAACTTGGGCAGTGACTGCAGAACAGTTAGCAGGGGCAGAGGTGTGAGTTGTTTTTGAGGTAGAACTTACCGGAATTAGCAGCTAATAAGATGTAGAAGCCTTGGGTTTCTGTCCTGCGTAGCTGAAAACTGACATAAGGAGTCGCTCAGGGAGGAGTAGGCGGGGGTGGAGGTGGGCACAGCAGAAGGCAGCACCAGCGCTTGCCTGAGGCCTGTGATGTGCCCGCTGTGGGCACCACACTTCTCTTATGCTCTCTCATCCGAAGCTCACCACAGGGGATTATTCCCATGTTACAAGCATAGAAACTGGATCTCAAGGAGGTTCCTCTATTGTGCCCTGGTGACACAGCTTATAAGCAGCAGAGCTGGGGGGAAAAGATTAACTTTGGTTTTTCAGATGTTAAGGTTGAGATGCCAGCAGGATGTGTGGACGGCCATGTCCTGATGGTGGGTAGAAGAATGGTTCTGGAGTTTGGAGAGATATCGGGGTGAGGAATGGAGATCCTGGAGCCGCCAGCATATATGGACGAGTATAGCAGCGCATCCAGTTACCAGGGCAGGGAAGAGGAGGGTTCTGGGAAACCACCAGTATTTAAAGGACACAGAGGCATTGCTGTTGAAAAGAGAAGCTGCACCAGGCAGGAGTGGGTTTCTGGAAGGAGAAGAGGGTTTCCAGGAGCAGGTGTGAGCAGAAGCAAGTAGAAAGAAGGCTGAAAATGGGCATTGGACTCAGCACTTGGGAGGCCTTGGCCAGAGCAGTCTTAGTGCCATGCGGTGGGGGCAGAAGCCACATTGTCACAATCAAGGGGTATATGGGAGGTGAGCGAGTTGAGGCAGTGGGTGTGGACCACTCCTCTCAGCAGAAGTTGAGAAAGCAGGGCCCTCCATCTGGGCTGCACATTGGAACCACCTGGGGAGCTTTTCAGACTCTGCTGCTCAGCCCCATTCCAGACCAACCCAATCAGAATCTTTCGGAGGTGGGTCCCAGGCATCCAGGTATTGGAAGAGCTCCCGCTGCAACTCAGATGCACAGGAGGGTCAAGAACTAGGGCTCACACAAGACCATGTGGTGTAGGCCTCTGTTTATATGAAACATCCAGGAAAGGCAAATTGAGAAAGACAGACATCAGAATAGTGGTCGCCTGGGCCTGGGCATTAACTCTAAACAGGACGGGATCTGATTGAGGTGATGGATATGGTCTATGGTGATGGCTGCACAACTCGGTGCATTTGCTAAAAATCACTGAATTGTCCACTTAAACAAGAACCAATGCTCTACTGAAAGGCACAAACCATTTTTGCAACCCTTGTGAGCCAGTGGGTCCAGGTGTTGAGCGTCAAAA